CTACAAAATCCACCGTTTTTTAACTTACCTGACCAAAAAATAAAAAAATTAGCAGCCGACGAACTTTTTCATGTCATATTTTAAAACTCATTTAAAAGTACCGACTTTATTTGAAGATTTAAAATAGAAAATACTAACTTTTAAGCTTTTAATTAAAACCAATAGTGTCATAGACTTATTGACTTCACTCATACGAAGTTTCAACCATATAACTTAAGTCTAAGTAGGCTAAATGTCGAGTTATTTTGAAGCGGAACATTGAGTTTTGGGGCCGTTTAATAAGCTGTGGCAACCACTGTAGAGACTTCTGGCTCAGACTGTACCGTTGGAGGTTATGAAATTTGGACATTATGAACCGCACTGTTTATTTGGTATCTTCACGTTGGAGTTTGTGAAATTTGGACATTGTGAAACAGTGATTATTTGAATGTTATAGATTTGGAGCTTATGAAATTTGGAGGTTATGAACCGCTCTGTTTATTTAATATTTAAACGTTGGAGTTTGTGAAACTTGGACATTGTGAACCAGTGATTATTTGAATGTTATAGATTTGGAGCTTATGAAATTTGGAGGTTATGAACCGCTCTGTTCATTTAATATTTTAAGCGTTGGAGTTTGTGAAATTTGGAGTTTATGAAACGCTCCCAAGCTGAGTAATGTGATATCACAAGCAATGCCTTATATCACTTGTGAGGTATTGCAATGTACAATACACGCCTCACAATGTACACAACTCACAGCTGCACAGCTATGTGTGTTGAGCTGTAGTTGAGTAACATTTAATTAACCTTAGATGGACTGGACACCATCATGCAAGCGCTATAAGTGGAATGGACAGCTTGCAACAATAAATATCGACGCTTTCATATCTGCTGGATTAACATGGACTGTTGGATCAGAAACTTTCTAGTATTTGTTGTAAATGGAGGAATTTAAACTATGTTGTTGTTCATACTTAATAAGGTACTGGTACTAGGCATTTTTGTAATGGCAAAGTTACTTTTTAGAGTGTAATTTGTGTAAAATTTGTTCAAATAATTTAATTTATTTTAAGATACCTTAAACATTCCACTGAAGCCAGTTTAGAAAATGTTTAAGTATTTTTAATACACTCTGGCACATCTTTTAATTTCAATTTTCTATTTGAAACAAAAGATTTTAGTGTTATATAAAAGATGCTTTTGTTGCATTAATATACAAAATCTTATTTATGTATCCAACAACTTGTACTGTAAAACACATCTTCATAAGCATCATATGATAAGCGTATTGAATCATTATAAACAACCAGAAACTATGCACAAAAGTGTTAATGAATTGTCTTGGTTCCGCAGATTGAACGGAGCGGAAACAGTGATTTACCGGGTGTTGATTTCCATCAAGCTGTGACTGCTCATGGTATTTTTAACTCATTAATTTTCCGCAAAGTTAGAAACCAACTAACCATGGGCATACAAACACAGACTTCCATGGACCTTGGAACCATTTATGAAAAGTACGGTAATAAAAATGAGATTAATATTTAAATCAGTCCATATCTCTTGTACTTAGCAGCGTTGGTAGAAAATATTTAAAAACATAATTTAAACTCCAATAGAAGTTTTGCAATGTTGTGCTACCGTACCCTTTGACTAGAACTGTATTTGAATCCCATTAAGTGCTTTCAAGTTACTTTATCGAACTTCTAAAAAATCATTAATAATGATAGGCCTAAATAAATAGGATTTTTAATCATGATAGCCATTTAAAAACAGCCAGAGAGAAGACGATAAAATCAAAACGATGTTACAGTATCCAGCCAGGTCAGATATTTGAGACTCTTTGAATTTGTTTTATATTATTGCAGGTAACAACCAAAGACATATACTTTAAGACTTATATTTTTTTTATTGTCTTGTGTAATTGACAAGACCTATCAAAGTTAATCGTTTTTTTTTTTTTTTTTTTTTTAGGGTTTCTAGGCTAATTCATTCTGAAAACACCTCAAGAGGTCCTTTTGTTAGCAAGACGATTGCGGACTAATAAAATAACCGCCATGGGCCTACTATTATGGGACTACTCAAGATTATCTTGACGAGGTACGATTTTGTCCTACCCTATTTGTCATTAAATGCAATCCTGGGGCTATAAAAATGAATTCCGGCAATACTTGCTTTAACCATAAGTCAAAATCCTTGTGCTTGTACCAAGAATAATACGGCACTGAAGAGTGACAGGCCTTACTTTAAATAACGGGTGTTTTTAAGCCTTTAGAATTTGGTACACTTCTTTATTTAAGGCAGCTCATGTACGTTTTCTGTGCTCATGATCACAAGCTACACAATGCTTTAAGGGCGGTGCTTTTAATTGAAAAGTTATAACATTGAGGTTAAGTTTTGTTTCTTACGGCCAGGCCAATGTAGCACAAGCAAATGTTGATGCCTCATCCAGGAAGATTTTATGACTTTGAGTTATATATAGGCCACCTATCTTATAAAGTAGGCATAGATTTGACTCGATTGAGGATTAAATCATATTTGAAACACTGAATTACAGTATTCCAATAGCCTAACTTATTTCAGAAAGGTGGCATTCAAATAACTTGAAACTTATTATTAGATACGGAGACATAAGTTCATCTGGATATTTTTAATCCCAATGCACACATATTTTTTAATTCAATTTAGCACACGATTAAGTTAATATTAAGTTAAACAGCAATGTAAAAACATTTTTTAATCTTTCTCACACAGGTCTTACAAAAGGAAGATAAGTTTGCCTACGGTACTAATTTACAATTAAGTGAACATAAGCCGATTAAGATAAGATTAGATTTTTGAGTTGCTAACTTACCACATTTAAACTCTTAAAAATTTCCTCAATACTTTGATATTCGAATCCTTTGGATTATTGAACTGATAAAAAGTATCGGTTCGATGGATAGGGTCTACCTAAATAACTTTTAATCCTCGAGCGGGCGCTTGTTCAGTTTTCCTCTGAACTTAGTTTTTGTTAAAATATGCATAATGGGTGTCAGCAGTCGTGTCCGGCTCCATACTTCATGCACCTCATCCAGGGACATGCCCCCAAGCTATTTTTACCCCCAAATTCCTCCTTATTTTGTTGTTAGTTGCAATTCAGTGACACTGTGTCAGTTTGCGGAAGTTTTCTCCGCGTGCGCCCTGTCGCATATGCGTAAAACACAGAAGAGCGAGGAGTTTATTTCCTCATGCGCTCTTCTGTGTTAGAGGTAACTGTTTTAGTTGTGTATGTTAGTGAATTATATAACTATTTGGTGTTCCCGTTTTATTGGACTGCGTCACTATGGATTTATTAGAAAAGGAGAAATTACGAGGATCGCTTGATAGTGTCGAAGGGGAAGAAAGAATAGAAGAAATACAACCAAAACGAGATTTTGATTAGGGTATTACTCATTTATTTGAGACTTCATTTATGTACTTTAATTTACATTAAGTTAAGTACATATCTTTTTTGCTAATGTACAGGCCTAGTTAATTGTTTAGTACACAAAACCAAACTTCATGATTGAAATTTTATTATTTATTTGTTTAGGCCTATATATCATTAAATTGTTGTTATTATACACGTAAAATTTTTCAATCTGTATGTAACATATAATTTATACATTACGAAAATATAAACATGTTTAAATGTATTATTTCATTATTTATAATAATTATTATCAAATAGCCTATATTTTGTTTGCATACCTATGTATTAAGTTTATTGCATTAACGCGGAACAAAACTGCACACACGCCCTCTCTCTCGTAACACCGACAGTGATACCTTTACTCAAATTGCTCAATATGTTTACTGTAGCCTATTTGGAATATTCCCTACTCATATTTAGTTGAACAAATAATGTTATTAACAATGAAATTAGGTTCCCGATTACGTTATTCAACATTTAAATAAATATTGCGTTATTATAACAACAAGTAAAATGGGTAAAAGTTGTGCTATTTAGTGTTGCGGAATAAAACTCCGCAGGCGCTCCTGTTTTACTGGTGAAGCGCCTGCTCTAGGGTTAAGCAAGTCAACTTGGACTAAAGTGCTTTTTTAAAAATTAGCCTATTATTTAAGGGGGTCAATTTTTGTAACAACTTGAAAAGTTACGGTACTATTGCCCGAGAGAAGACTTTTGAACTTCCGCTAGTTGACTTATGATCACAGACATTTTTTAGATATTGCTTTTAGCCAAGGGTTGAGTCATTTGGACCTATAAATTCGTAGGAAAAACGCATTAAAATGTAAAATCTCGTTCTAAGTTTACGCTCTGCAGCTTTGAATTGCGTGAAGAGCAAGTAAGCTTAGAGTTGCAAACTAACCAAAACTACAACTCCATAACTTATTGATTTTATCAAATGATAAAGACAATGAAGTCGGATATCAACGGTTTTTAAACTAAATTGTGCAGCGTACGGGTAAATAACATAGCATAACTTGAACTTACTTGACGTATTTTAAGATGTTTTTAGAGGAGTCAACTAAACAACTTTTCTTCTTGTGAGTTCATTCTACAATTTTGTTTAAAATTAACCTTGCAATTTAATAAGGAGATAACATAAGTTATCCCTAGTAATCATTAAGTTATTCAAGGCAATCCATAACAAAATTCCTTTCACTACAAAAAAACGCCTAATTTTATTAGCATGGTATGAACAATAACACAACAAAATCACATGTCAACACTAAATTCCCCAGCCTTTGAACGGCTAAAATTGGCAAATCTTAACCTTAGCAAAGTTTATTTGGTTTTTAGTTGGGCCCTAGAATGTCACTCGTGTAGCCATAGCACGCGAGCGAGCATTGCAAGTCCTGATCAACAGGTAGCTTCGAAGTTGTTACCATAGATAAAACATACTCCCTTAGTTGTTACCTTTGTAAACGTCTATTCTATAAGGTAAGGTTAAAAGGTCCTCATGAATTCGCGTTTATATTCTCTCAGTTATATTATTACTAAATTGATGAACCAGTTGTTAACTGGTGTGGTTTACCTGAAACACAAGCGGGTAGCTCCAATAAAATGAACCCAACAAATATGAGGGCCAGAGGTATATAATCCAAACGTCGCCTCATGATGAAGCGGCTATATCCTGTACCACTGATTCACATTAGCCAATAAACAATTCACTAAACACAACACTTCACACACAACTATGTTAAAAACATCATAAATGTGTCGCACTCACACTACACACGAGTCCCATACTATACTCTATAACGGTCGCGAACCGAACACACTATGAGCGGAGCGGCTTTTGTCCTCCACAGACTGGAGAGAAAGTAGTTCCAGAGTCTAGTATTCCTGCGCGCGCTCTACTGTGGGAAAATAATATTTGTTTGGAAACTTTTTTTAAATAAATATTATCTACTTTGATGAAGTTAATACCCCAATGAAGACTTACTCTAAGTATATGTTTCTTTTTTCAAACACAGAAATAGGTAATTACAATTTATAAGCGTGCTGAGTTAGGTACTATATTTTATGTGCGAAAGTAAAGATTGTAGACCATATTCTGGAGGATGAACCAGTTCTTGGACTTGGGGGTTCATTCTTTAGTGAATAATTATTGTGAAATATGATAAACTCTAATTAACTTACATTTTGAGTAAGACTAGTTTCCTAAATATTGCGCATGGATCGATGGATCGTAATTTAAAATTCATGAGAATAGCTACTATTTTAGTTAACTACTGTACATCAAACTATAAAATGACACATTCTTTCTAACATAAAAAATGTACATATAAACAAAAAACAAAATGGAAAAAATAACAAAAAATTATAAAGGATCACCGGAATTGTACCTTCCAGAATCCTACCTCTGGACAAAAAGAGCAAATTATTGTAATAAATGGTTTTTATAGTTAAATGTTAATAGTAATATGAAATAAATCAATTTTTAAAAATTGATCAAAATATATATTTTTATAAATATATTTTGATCAAATATATAACTCAAATGTAAACTGTAAATTTAAAATTCCCATGTTATTCTTATGGAGAATTAGTAAACCGTTGTAGTTTGCTTATGTTTATTTTAAATTTAGGTACAGTTTTATGGAATTTTCTCCTTAACGATTACGTGCATCGCTTCAATATACTAAATTATTTGTTTTATGTGCTCTACAAAACGGCTTAGCTAAATAAATTGCAAAATTTTATGTTTTTAGGGTCAAAAATAGGAAAACCCCATTATTACCCCATAAAACCCTCCATAAACCCCCATTCCCATAGTCCGACCATGCTGGTTCGCGAACTCGTTCTTATTACTGTATGTCTACACGTTTATATTTTTAATCAAAATCGGATCATTTTTGCCCAAGTTATTGTGTTAACGGACACATTTAAATACTGTAAGTATATTTTATATACATGAATTTGAACAAACAGTGTTTTTGACCTCTAGGGATCTCAAAACGAAAAGTTTAATTGGTCCTCGGTCAAGGTCTTACCATGAGACCTACACGGTCCTATAATAGCTTATTCCCTATATGGGAAATTTGCAAAAAAAAGAGAATTGAACAAATAAAATGAGTGTAGGACTCCCCAGAAATCTCCACCCCTATAAATGTTCAGCTGAAAAGGTTAGATCCGGAATCTTTAAGTTGTCACCTGTAAACCTATCCCCGGATCTATCAATGAACCTTTACCTCCCGGAATTCCATCCCCCTCTTGAAACCTACCTCCGACCAGCAAATCAATATCTTACCCCCAATTTCGACAAGTAGTTCAAAGTCTTGCTCTAACAGAAGTCTTTTATCATCTGACTTATATACACACAATATAGAATTTTTCTCTCAGAATTTCATTTTTTGTCAGTGGAGTACCCTACCTAGTAGGTTTCTGGGGGGGCATCTATTTTTCTTTAAAGTTAAGTATAATGGCGAGGAGGTAAGATTGTGATTTTATTTCTGGTTAAGATTTTCAGATTATGCTCCCTGTCTTTTTAATACACTCCCAGGATGAGTAATCCTTATATTAGGGGGTAGCACTTCATCCTATGGGCTTCCATCTAACTTTTTCATAAGGGGTGGCCAGGGGTAGGAATAACTGCCAGTAAATTGATTTTTTGTATACACGTTTTGTAACTTAATGGCTTTGCCAATTCAACCTTTTGTTATTTTGCAATCTTTTTCACCAAATTACATTGTGATTTGAACTTCATGTTCCAATTCATCAACCGCAGATCCTGCCACAGTTACTAAAATCACTGTCATGATCAGTATTTTTTTAAATCTTTGGTACTATCAATTGCTTAAGATATCACTCTTTAAGACTGTGATCTATGTGAATATAATGACAAAGCATCAATCAGGTGTTCAAGATAACGTCCGATCTGTATCATCCTGTCTACAGATCTTTAAGTTAGGTTCTCAGACTATGACACTCCAGTTAAAAAAACAAAAAACCTAAGTATTTGATTTCAAACACAATGAGGTACCTAGTGAAGGCAGAAGGGTGTCCTGTGCAAGTTGTGTTCTTTTGAAAACCTACTTTAAAAAGAATTCTGTGGGAGCTTTTGTTGCGAAGCTATATCAGGAATCAGGATTATAAACACTTCCATTAAGATGCGCACAAGCACAAAAAGACTCAATTAAATAATTAAGTAATTTTGTCATTAAATCAAGTGTTATCTTTTCTTTTAAACTTATTCTGATCTGTCGCATGATATATTGTTTGTGTCACCTCGACCTCACTAGCTGAGAGTTGTTGTTTCCTCCTGATAAGTTGTTAATTCTGGGATTGGATTTTTGGACACAATCTGAAAAAATTGTACAGTAAAACCTTGATAAGAAGACCCTCGATAACAAGTCACCCTTGATAAAAAGTGTAATTTTAAATCCCCTTGGATTTGTTTGACCCTTAATAACATGTTATTACAAACCTCAATAAGAAGTCAACCTTGATAACAAGTGTAATTTAATAATCCCCATGAGAGTCTTGTCATCCAGGTTCTACTGTATTTAACAAAGGAGGTCTCGAGGCCCCCCTGGACCATATTGATGGACGCCCATGTATTTCGGCCACGAACAATTCCAAGATCTTCAGGTTACTACGGTGATGTTGTATGTTCTCGGTCAGATAAGAATCCAAAGGAGTTGAATTTTGCTGCCCACATAAAGACACTACATAGTTTGTCTCTTTTTGTATAAGAGCTTGCATAGCGCAGTGTTTATAAAATTATGTACAACTTAGCATTGGTTATGCCAATTACATTTACAACAAGGAAAAGAGTGGAGAGATGATGACAGCTGTATTAATCCGCAGAAAGTAGAGAAAAAAACTACTGCCACTACAAAAGCTCATGAATTACTAAAAACCTATATCGTAAAAAATCCTGTATTTGACATGTTATTATATGAAATCTTCACATAGACATTTCCCAAGCAAAGTGGATCCTGTAGTTATTAAAGCAATTATGTCTCAACAAAGGTAATATCATCATGAAGTTATTGCAAAAGTGAAGTAAAATACATTTACTCTCATCAGGGCTAAAGATTCTGCCGCTCTTTGGAGGTTGGTGGATTGTATTTCTGAGTAAACTCTCTTTGAAAAACGAATAAACATCGTTTTGACTCTTCCATGGAGACTGGAGAAAGAACTGAAATAATTTATAATAGATTGTAAGCAGCACGTTAGTTTTCTTAGTATCAAAGTTTTTAAGCTGCGACCAGCGGAAGACAGTGTAAAGAAGAATTCCTAAATGAGACAAGTCTTCGGGTAAACAGCTGTTTATTAATGAAATTCCTGCAGACGATGACAATGATCCTAGTGTAGTCAGCTGATCAGGTGTTAGTAATGTTTTACTACACCTCTCAGGCTTAATGTTGTCTCCAGGTGCAGGGAATTCTGGGAGTCTAGGAGGAGGAACTTTGTCAGACACTAGACTGAGCTCAGGGGCAGAGGGGCTTACAGCTTTTACTTCAACCTTTGAAGGCTTTAATGGTTGTAGGGATGTGGTCGTTGAAGGCTGCATTCTTGAAGTTTTTATTACTATACAATTTAAATATTTTGGTTACTTGGTAACTCAGTAATATTGTATCCTTTAACAGTCAGTTGAAGTTGACTAGTTGAGTTAGGAAATTGACTTCCTTGCATTCAGTAACAGTACAACTATTTGGTTTTTTTACACAGACTAAAACAACGATGACGACTCAGTACCTACGTAGGAAGTTGGACTGATTTGACTTTGTATAAGAGAATAGAGTTGTTCTGCCTCAGTTCTTTAATCCTTGATTATGCTTTTTGTTTTATCCAGGATTTCTTCAAGAGCCCCTTTTTGTTTATGATGGTGTAGTTCAGGCTGATAGTATGATGAAAAAATTGCATTCAATTTAATTGTTAAAATAATTTATCTACTACAACAGAGGTAGTAATTGCCCTTAATTTTCCAATAACAGCTAGGTACTGTACATGCTCGTTTTTAAGAGATGTTTTTATAGATTTTAGGAGATTTTTTTTAGGAGGGAAGAGGCACAAGTAAAGAATAATTATTTACCTGAGTGCAAATCAGTGCACTAACCTACAATAGGCCAAGATGATACATCTAAAAGTGCAGTCCTTGTGGTTCACAGATACATTAATCAATTTTTTTTTAAATCTTGAATTGACAAGTCCTAAGGCGTTTTTACTCTCTTTGCTGAAAGAATCAGTTATACTATGTTCAGTTATGCAGAATAAGTTGTACTGGCTATACATGCAACAGTTGTGGTTTCAAAAGTTACCTCTGTAAGGTAAAAGTAAACAGTTACTGTTATTTTAAAAGTAAATTGTCTAACGTTAGTGTAGTTACAACGATAAATTGACACATTTTATCAGACCATTTTCTAAATGTGTCAGGAAATTGCAGATTTTTCCTATGAATAAGCGTGAAAACTGCTATAGATCCAGGAATTTTAAACTTAAAGTATTGGCTATAAAACTCGTTATTTACTATCGACGTTGATTTACGCATTAAAGGTAGATTCTGTTGACACATCAACGTAACTTATAATGATAACAAAGTTTTTATTCTTAAGTGACACCATGACAATTTGAAATAACAATCAATATGAACAGAAGAGATGTATCTAGATGGCACTGTATCCATGACAACCTACTTGTTATGCTGAGAACACCTCTCATATGAGGAAAGATTACTAACAAGTTTAGATCAACATGCCTTCTGGACCTGTCCCAAACAAAGATGACAGTGAAACTATGCTGGAAGTTGTCAACCGGCAGATTGGTGAAATTAAAAAGAAAATACAACTTTCAGGTAAGTATTAAAAAAAGATACATTTTTTCTTAAAATGGATTAAAATTAACTGTATAAGATATTTTACATATGTGTGTTGCAGCCAAAAATGATTTGTGATACCAGAGTAATATTAACAGTACTTTTACTATCGATTTATTATATACTTAATTGTCCTAGACAAACTTTAGTGTAATATCTGGAAGGTTAGGTTGCTAAGAAAAATCAACGAACACTTAAGACCAATAGATGGAGCACGCCTATCTAATTATAGAATATAAAAAGCTTATAGATTTGTGTCCAAAATTTTGTTTAAGACAATATTTAATCTTTGTTCCAGTAAGTAATTTAAAAAGAACCTCAAAATTCGTTAATTTAAATTGCATTTTGGATTTACAGAGGGCCAAAGGAAAGCTCACTATGAAGAATGTGATACAGAAAAGAAACGCAACATTGACAAGATTAGAACACTAAAGAAGACCATAAAACAGCTACAGTTTCAGTTAGGAAGGCCTCCAAAAGTAAGTTTATAAATTTTGACAGCCTCATTAAACCATAAATTTGCCCATACAAATGGGCCCTGAAGGTGTAAATCTATCTAGCAAAACTAAACCAATGGTTCAGTCGTAACTTAATTAAAGTAAAATAATAAAGCGTACCTTCTACTCAAGGCCCGAACCAACCAACTCACCAAACTTATTCTTAAGTATAAATCACTTCAAATAAATATACTTAAATATGGCGAGGGTTAAAATCGTACAAGGTCTTATAGTGTTCAGTAATTATACAATCCCCCTCTAAGTTTAAAAAAATTGAAATCTTAAAATGCAAAGCCCAATATTAACTTATGATCAGAGTTTTTACATGTATTTATACTTCGTTAATTTTTATTATAGGATCTTATGTTATTACGCTCACAATTTAAAACTCGTAAGTTTCATTTAATAACTGCGCTCTCTGGAATTTCTCGTTGTATAAGTAGAATAAACCACAACTATCACAAAAAATATGGATGGCCATGAATAAATTGTCAGCCCCTACTTAAGTTCAATATGGAGCAAAAACAATTTTAAAATGACAGAAAGTTTAAATTTGTTGTAATGTTTAGTGTGACGAAGGCATACTCAAAACCAGCAACAAGTATCCAAAGGAGACGATCGCACTTCGCAGCAAAGACACACACGAAGCAGCCCAACTGTTGGACTGCAAAGTGATCGACCTACAGAAGAAATTGGACCTGATTAGATATCATGCAAAAATGGTAATGGCACTAAGAGTAAATCATATTGAGTAGTGTTAAAGTAAAAATATGCAGAGTAATTCACTATGGTGTCCACATTTTCTAGCATGTTAACGAAAAAGCTGAATTCATTAAGTGACTGTATTTACCAAAGTACAAAACGGTTTATATTTGTTTGTTTTTTTAACATAATAAGGGTATTATTTTGTGTACTTCTAGTAGTTTTTGTAATTTTATCAAAACAAAAGTAACGAATTCAGATTTTTCTGAATCACTTCTGCTTTCTAACTCATCAAGTACAACATCTTGACAAATCGAATATTTTGTGTCCAGCACAATATATTAAACTTGTTTGTTGTTGTTGTGTGTTTTAAACACCTTTAGATTTTTTCTATACATGAATGTTCCAAACCCACTAACTTGTTACTGTTTATCGTAACATTTTGTTAGGTAGCGTCATTAATTTATAGTGTGATGACAAAAATGGGTTCTGGATTTAAACCTGCTTGGCAGTGAACCTGAAACCTTAGATGAACTAATATATATAGCATGCTACAATCATCAGATTTTGAAAGGAGCAATATAACCTCTCGGCTTCGGCTATCCAGGCAAATATATAAAAATAAGCTAAGAACATCATCATTAAATAGAATAATTCAAGTCAACAACAACAACTTTGACAGTTGTCAAAGTTGCTTGGTAAGGGGTTGAAAGTATTGTTCCGCTTTGTATAAATAATAGGTTACTTCAGTAGGAAAGTAAAACCACTCTTGTTAACATTATAGTATTTTTCAACATTGGCATTCTTTTACAAAAAGTAAATTGTCTAATTTTTTTACAGCACCAGAAGCGGATGAAGGACTTGGCAGATGAGTACCAAGAGCTTCTGATCAACACGGCCAATGAGGGCATCCGGAAACAACTCGATCCACGAGGAAAAGTACGAGAAACATTAAACTTTAAGAGTGGTGGGAATAACTGAAGTTCAGTAGGTAGTGCAATTAGGCTAATAGAGGAATGTGTTTTAAAGGTAAAAGTGAAGGAACTTTCATCAAGGGAAAAACCAGGTCCTTGAGTAACGACATACATCCTGAATATGTCAATTCAGCAAATATCTTTTCCTAGGTGGTTCAAAACTGCAACTATGTTAAATGATTTAGTTTTGATGATTTTTTGTATGTGAGTAAGTCAGGACCATTAACAATCAATATAAATTTAGTTCAACAACAGCTGGTTTGTGATGCAAACAGTTGAGTTGAGATCCTGTGGTTGTCAAAATCCAATATGAGAAATATTTTCACTAAAATAAAAATATTTAAGAGCAAAACTTGATACCTAATTGGTTTTGGTTTTCAGCAAGTTTCTGTCCTGGAAAACAACATCCATAAGGTGGAGATGAACATGATGGAGGCAGAGCACATGCGAAAGAAGTATCGAGCGATACGAGCCAGCCTGCTTGAGGACAGCGTACTGTTTGAGAGTACCCTCAACAAGCTAGAACATAACATCATGAAACAGGAGACTGAGATAAGACACCTTCAGGTATAAACACAATGTTCCTTCAGTATAGTTAAAACTAGATCGTAGGTTCGTGTACTAAATTTGTCAAGTAATGTTGAGTACGAGGGATGTTTTTAAGTGTACTAAAGATGTTTTTAAGTAAGAGCCGGTTTTGGGTACAAATCCGTAATTCTCTTGTACGCCGCAACGAGGCTTATTACCATTTACTGGCATCATTTGTGAACAGAATGACACAATTTTTTTCACCTTTGTAGCTGTCATGTACGTTTTTCCGTGTATCAAATCTTCCCCCATGTCTGAGGTAATGTCAGTGATACGTTTTTTTGTTAGCAAGAAACATATCTGTTGCCGATATTCTAACCACACGTTCACAGAATTGTATTACTGTATAGCAAAATGCCATTGGCCAGATTTGAACCAATGACATAAGTTCCATGCTGCAGTTTACACACCAGCCAGTGTTACACCTTTAATAATTACAATTTACATGACAGAAATAACTGGTGTGATTTTAGGCTATCAACAGAGAAGCCCTCGACTTGCGGGATAGCACCAAAGGGATTCTGCTGCGTCAAGAAGTAGCTGTCATGAACGCAGGGAAGTCCCGAGAAAGACAGCTGATGGAACTCAAGTGAGGCATTAAACCAGAGATTAAACATATAGATTTATCATTCTTATGAGTCAGTTGGAGAAAATTTGATTTAACGTTCCTTTCCAGTTTATATATAGTGTTTGTTGTTTACCATGTATTTTTTGTTTGTTATTTAACCAACTTTAAAACTAATTTAATAAAATATGTATCAATAGTTGGGAGAAAGAGCACTTTAGCTTAAGTTAGGTTTACGTAGCTGCCAAATGCGGTTGTGATTTTAGCAAAAACTCAATACACAAAGATAAGGTACGGCTGTTTCCCTAGCTACTGAATTCGGTAGGGACAATAACATAGAAAACACAGGCACTAAAACACTCGCACGACGATCACAATCCTGCAGCTGTATTCAGAAGCTTAATTTAACAGCAAGGAAATCGCTCCTATAATTTTTTTCTTATTCTTAAATGAGAAGGAATGAATGCACACCTATGCATGGTGAAGAAAATGAATTCCAGGTAGTTGATGGCTCACAAAAAGTTCCAGTATAATTAATTAGATTTTTAGTCTCTACAAAGGAGCTCCTTCTGGGGAACTCTTTTACTTAGGTAAGTTAAAATAGTATTTCAGATCTACGAATAGAATTTATAGATGAGTTTGAAAATGGCAACCAGCAAGAACATGGGATATTCTTATTATTACTGTTGGAACTACTGACAGAGTGACAGGGACTGTGAAATCCATATTTAGTCAACATTGCAGTTCTATAACAACAATATTGTTGGACAATTGTATTTCACAACATTTAATAAGTTCTTTGATCAGAATGAGAGTGGACGAGCGAAAGGCAGAACTGGAACGTTTGGAGCGTCGCATTTTTCCGACCGGTCGACCGTTGATGCATCAAGACACTGTCACCTCAACAGATATGACACATGGAACCTCCGACGAGACTTCTCAGGTTGTGGAGAATCTTGAGAAAGCATTCACTACTCTCAAAGAAGCTACAGGTACAGCCAACAGTACTTGATTGGAAATTGGTATGGTTAAAAAAGAAGCACCAATTATCGCAAACTTTAGTCCACATGCCTCGGATGTAAAATTAGAATAGTTCATATTAGATGTATGCAACACCAATCAAGGGTGTATAATTAATAGGGTTGAATGAACAAAATGATAAGTATTCCTTCTAAGACCAACCGTTTCTTTAGCCAAGACGATTTATTAAAAGCACAATGATGGGAACAGCTGGGTCCAGTTAAAAAGATATTGACTTTTATCAGGATAAAACCAGCAATCTTCTGAATACTCGACAACACTAGAAGCACTCTGCTACCAACTCGTGTTAAAAACAAATACCAGAAGAGGGTTAAACATTAGTTAAAGCGCCTACATACGCCAAAAACAAAAAAGCCCCAATGCAAAAACCTTAATTATAAAACATCTGACAACCCTACTCAAGAAAAAATTGCAGCAAAAAATTATTCACAAAATAATATTAAGTTAAATATAGTATTCCAAAGCATCAATTTTTATATAAAAAGTTTTAATATTAAATGTCATTCCAGGTGTTACCGACACAAAGGATGTTCTCCAGCGGTTTCTCTCTCAAATAGAAACAAGGACTCGACTCACATACCTGAAAGAAACTACTGAAAAAGAAAAGAAGCAGCTTGAAGTTAGAAAAGATATGATGCTCGCTGAATTGGAGGCTTTCAAATTCGCACAAGTCAAAGACAAAGAACAGTAAGTAACAGTTAGAAATTGCTATCTAAGAAAGAAAATGGGATTACTATGAAAAATAAATATTACATTAGATTATAGAGTAAGAAAATTATTCAAAATAGTTTACTGCATTTCAAAAAACAAATACCTTCATCATGCTTATAATGTAGGAATTTAAATCCTGTTACAATGTTGAATCTAGCTCTATCGACGTTAGCGCTACTCCATCAGGGTGGCAGAGTCGAGTTATCTCAACTGGAAACATGAACAGTGCTAGAGGTCTAATGTGCAGTTAGAACACAAAATCTCTGTACTGTAAGTCAGGGTTCAAATCCTGCAAATCAACAATATTTTGTTATAAAAAAATCTACAATCAGAGCCTGTTTCTTCATATTAATGTTAGTTATATATTACAGTAGTTCCTTCGCTAAATCGTCGACAAGTTGAAAAAACACAAAGTATTGTTTAGATTTTTGAAATTAATATTTTATTTTCAGAAATGAGGAAGAGGTGGAAAAACTTAAGATTGCAATACAGAATGAAATAGAGAAGAGAGACAAGTTGGATGAACAAACAGCTACAATAAGAGATCAAATTTTGCAGATCAAGAACGCTCTTCTCAAAATGTGCTCTTTGCTCCAGGTAAAAGGATTAACAGTTTTGTTGGTGTGTAACACATTGTGTTCATATGTCTGATTGTATTGAAACTACCTTCTACGAGGCTGGTTTTTTTTAGTGCCGTTTTAGTGTTTAGCTTCGTAATTTGATGTACACCGCTACGAGGCAGCTCGCTGGTATCATTGGTAAACAGAATAGCGCCATTGTAGTAACTGATGACACTTAGTTGTGTCTAGAAAATGTTTAAAACTTTTGAATATCCTGCCACACACGATATAAGGCCAGTGATGCGTTTTTTGACCACCAGGCAACCAGTTACAATTTCTTACATTAGACCTACAGTAGACTCCCTCTTATCCACACTCCTCGGGACCAAGCCAGTCTGGATAACGGATTTTCCGATTAAACCGACGTCCCCGAAAACTCGTTAAAATGGACCGTTTACTGTGATATTCTACTCAAGTTTAGAGGAATATTGTATTTAGACACGTGATCACTGGTCTCAAAACTTTCCCACGAGAACAGGTTTTTCAGTACCGCCCACTTCCTGCCGATCTAGTCCGGTTAAACCAATGTCCGGATAAGAGGGAGTCTGCTGTAACTAATTTTCTTGTAGGATTATGAGCCCACAACAACTCCTCCTGCATCACAAGAGATAGACGACTCAGAGGAGACAGTGGTGCTGCTCCAGGGCAAACTACACAGCTTGTTTGACAAAATCGACAAGAAAGATGAGCCAGAGGAAGAGGAAAAGGTTAGTTATACTAAAATAAGATACAACTCCAAATGATGACTTTATTTAAATAACCATTTGGTCTTGGGGGAATCTGTTTTTATAAGTAACATTGTTATTACATCAGTAATTAATTATTTGCTTAACACGTTTGCTGCGGCCCATCAAATAGCAGGCGTAGCCCCAGTGCGGCGCAGCCCGCAGCCTCGAACAAACCCGATTGCCGGGTGATTGGCTTTCATATTTCGGTATGACGAATATCAAAACGTGTGGTGATGTCCTGTTTCATCACAAGAGTTGACGTAGTTTGCTAAACACCCACAGTAGATGCCATTATTTAACAATAAAACACACTAATATAGCACAAAATTACAGTTAACAAACGTAATGAGTGAGTCAAAATCCACCAGGTATAGTTTCGGAACGAGTATAGATAATTACAAACGGATTGCACCACAAAACTGCCACTGTCATACACGAAGCACGGACAAAAATACTCCGACCTACACCGGAGTGCGGCTGCACTCAAACCGAATAAGTTTGGTGGGTTCACACTACCGCCCGGGCGGTACGCCGCAGCGTGGCGGAGCGCGGACCTACCGCCCGGGCACACGCACGCAATGTGTTAAAGAGCATTGTTGGTGATGAACAGTATATGCTGTTAAAAAGAATAAATAGATTATCCACAACTTGTTAGTGAGATTTTCACAATGTTTTTGAGGATGGGGTCAGATCTAGATGAGGTGGAAATAGTGGAGGGACAGAGCTTCAAGGAGACAGGCTTGAGAGATAAAATAATAAGTTGGAATTTAAAAAGGTAGTTATCTTTAAGTTTTAGTTTTACTTTTAAAAAAGGTATTCATTAACAATTAATTTTGTGAGTACAGTATATTGTTATAGGTCACTGACAAAAATGACCATGACTGCTTTCCGAAAAAGAGCAAGAAAACAACATACCACTTTAATATTGTTGCTTTCTGCTTTGTTATGCACAATGTCTGTAGAAACTTTGTTACACACTTTGAACAAAACACTGCAAAACCAAGTACCCTATTCAGAAATTCTCAGGCATGCGGTTTGCAAGTGATGTGCTTTGGGCCATAGAGACATTTGCAATCCCCTCCGTCCCTTCCTTGCAGGTGATTGTTCTCTTCCTTACGCCCCCAACCAAACTAAATCCTCTTGTGCCCTGGTCCCGAGCCCATTTACTTAAGCGACACTGGCAATTCTTAACTGCTAAAAAAAAGTTAAGTAGACCAGAAGAACTACCATGTTGAAGTTAAGACTACCTACTAACTTTCCAGCTTGATTTGTATTGACGATCAATACTATTGCAGGTGACAATCAAGGTGGTTCGGGTGGATGCACCTGTATACCCGCAGGCCCTAGAGGGTCACCCGGACAAGACCAGCGAACCCGAAGATGAAGACGAGATCCCCACCCGAGGCTTCCTCAAGCGGCAGGCCCAAGTCATCATTGACGCCAAGAGCAGACGCAAGGGCTTCAGAGTGGCTGTTCCACGAGTATTCGGCCGGATGAAATAAAAACTTGTACTCACAGATTACTATGTAGTAGCCAATAAATAGTATACTAATCATAAAGTTGCAAACATTGTCATTGAACATAGAAATATAGAATTAATTTAATTTTTGTGTATCACATTTTGACTTCAAATTTAGAATAACTTATTAGAAAATATGGATTAGATTTGCTACCTCAATCTGTGTCCCGACTTTCAGCGATAAGTGTTTTAATTTAATGAAGTTAAATAGAATTTGAATGTGTGCAGGTAAGTTTAGAATTTCAGGAAAAAATCAATTGTTTAATACATTTTAATGATTTGTTTGACTTGATCCTCTCTCTTTAAAATCATACGGTACATTGTAGTTTTTTTGTATTCATCAAACATTTTAATCTTTCCAACATTGTTCACTGAGTAAAACAACTTTTACATGGAATGAACTACAAACATATACTAGGTATAAAAATGTACCTAGATTGAGAGATTATGAAGTATGTTTGTGACTAAATTGATAGCAGAAACACTTGTGATTTCATCATCAATAAACTGTGAACATCTAGACTAAAGTAAATTCTGATCACACAATACACATTTCACATGAGGTGTTACATTACTTCCTAGCCAAGAGCAAGAATGTAGGTTTTAATGTGTACCATGAAACCATGGTCTTGATAAAACCTTTAATCTTACACTTTGGAAAGAGACACTACCAATCGTTACCCATGTAAAACTTGAGTAGTGGTAGTGGCCTCAACAAAGACCATAAACAAATAAAATCCAAACAACTTTGAGGGCGAGGAGGAGGAGAAGTGAAAATCAAATGATGGAACTTGACATTTATTACTCTCGACACGGTATAAACAGCGAACAAGCAGAACTTTCAAACACTGAGAATCACAAATCGCAATCTGGCACCCTCTCGTCTCTCGTATCTACAACTTACAACCGATGGCAGTGATACCTGGTGAAACAAATTAAAAATATTCACTATAAAATTTCAACCATTCAAATATAATTTTCGTTTGTCATCCAGGGCTGAAAAACGATTCAACCCTTTCTAAATAGCTGCTTTCAATATGTACAGACATATTTAAAACAAAAATTAAACATTTAAAAAGAAACTTAACATTAAATAAAAATAATTACGGGTATTTACAATAAATATAATTTTGACATTTTTGCCATAAGAAATGCCCATTCTGGTACGTTGATATGAAAGTTGTCCACAACTTAGTAAAACAAAAATAAACTTCTTGATATTTATAGAAATGATTGAGGAAACTCTTGGAATATTTTCAGTTTCCACCAGGGAAACATACTGTACAAAAAGTTAAAATAAATTACACTCACAAATGAAGTAGTGCTATAACAAAAATGACTTAAAGTATTGCTGGAGATAAGTTAACATAGTAACATAATGAAAATACCAGTCTTAATCATTTAGTCTCATTTTATGAAAATACAATAAAGTAATACCTTAAAAATAAACAAAAATATCAAACTTATCAAGTAAAATATTTATTTCAGGAGCAGACTGTATTGTGATAATTAAATTTTATATATTATACCAAATGAATTGAGGCCCATTAAAATGAAGGTTTAAAACTTTATTTCAACATATTCCACACAATAATCATCTAAATTGTAGTATTGAACACAAACCAGGTTTTTCTTACCATTTTAAACCCTATTGACTAAAGTTTCAGTCATATTTGTTTGTAACTTTGCATGTAAACACCAAAGAGACTAAAATGTGAAAATACTAACTTATTCAGTCTTATATATCTGACTTTCCCACTTCTGATTCAATTATTAAATTTTAAACTTGTATTTATCATTTCCCAAAAAAGGGTAGGCTGTAATATATTAAAATTTTTATAAAGATTTTGTGGAGAAGCACATTAAAAGATCAAAAAAGATTAAATTAACGTGGGTTTAACATTTAGTAAGCTGCTTTGTTTCAGTAACAAAAAAAATATATATATGTTTTCCCCATGCATTAAAGTACCTAGGCAATTGGCTTGTAAACAGTGCATTTAAGTATATTACTGTAAATCATTCATTTTTCCTTTAATTAATTCAGATAATTCATAGGCCGCTTATAGGAAAGAAAAAACTGGAGCCTCTTCTAATTCTAGGATTTGAATCTGATATTAAAAATGTTATAGTTCCTTCAACTATTTCCAAATAACGTCATGAATCCTGATAAAAAAATGAGTGCATTCACAAACTAACATTAACACACGTCCCAATATACATAAAACATTTAAACTATGAATTACAAAAAAAAAACTCAGATTAAGCAAACTGTAATGGAATACACTATCAAATTCATACATGATATGTAACATCAAAACATTTCTGAGTAAAAGCAATTGCTTTTTCTATTTGACTAAAATACCGGGCAAATATAAATTATAATTTCATGTTACTTTGCAATTTAATACTGGTGACTTGATCATTTTCACTACTTACTGACTTAAATACAATACCATAAGTAATATTAACCACATCTAACGAATGATAATAGTTACATTCAACTCTCATTATAAAATGAACATTTTTAAATAAACTAACTAATAGTGTATATTTTTTGGTTGATTACTTTTGTAAAGATGAACTTCCCTGGATTAATTTCTCAACAGTTCAGTATTAAGGAAAAATGTATAGTTATAATGTTGTACTTTTATTGAGCAACTTTTTCCAATCTTGTACGAAAATAAATAATAACGATTTCACTGGGTTGTTTTAAATATTTTTTACCATTTGATTTTCTCATTACAATTTTAAAAAATGTACGGTATATGAATGGATTAATCATAGAAAACATACCTCTTTAGTTACCTAATAATATACTTATTTTAAATAAATACATAAGATAAATATTATTTATTTAGATACATATAATCACTGATATATTTTAAAGCTACAATCATCATTTATATACACTAGCTTCACACCTTGCTACTATAATTTGCATGGCAATATTTTCTTGTTTTAATAATATTTAACCTGCATTACGAATGAAACAATACAACTTTGAATCTTTATCAAAATTTTTATTTTTAATATTTTGTTAATCAAATTTACTGATTAATTATTTTACAAAAAAACAATATGTTTAATTGAACATGAATGTACTGTTGTCAAAGTTTCCTGATTATAAATTTTTTTTTAAACACAATATAAAAAACAATATTACAAAAATAATATTTAAATTCCAATATAAGTAATATTAAAACATAGTGGTGCTAGTCAGTAATTCTATATATATTCACAAATACTTTTAACACATCTAATCCAAAAACACCGTATACATAAACATATTCCACAAGCTTACAGACAACTACCCTACCATTCCAACCCAACCTGAGAACAAGTTTCAATTTATCTAATAAAATTCACAGATCTGAAGACAAAGAAAACCCCAAAGATTGTTTGTAAAAAATAAATTTCAAAGAAATTTATTTAATGGTGTAACTGCATGCGAATATCATTAAAAAATTGTTAAACATAAAATCTTTATAAGACCAAAATATCAGCTAAAACATTATTTTTCTTTCTAGTTTGCTTTTGTAGTCATGAAGCCTATAATTTGCTCTAATTTATTGTAATTGTTTTTTAAAAAACCTTCATAAAGTCAATAAAAATAATAGCAAAGTTAAAAATTTTATATTCCAGTGGTTCCACTCCCAACTAGTGGGGCTAATCTAGTTACAAGTTCTTTTAATTTACACTCAAAATTAATGGAATACACATAAAGATTTGAAATTCAGTTTGAAAACACAAGTTTTAGAAGTTTTATATGGTCTAATTGATTTAGTTTTAGCCTTTTTCATCAAATCAGTCTGCGTTCAAAAATCTGCGATGAAAGTAATGTTGGAACTAGTAATGTTGTGAATCTTGAATCCACTAAAATACTCAAAAAATGATTCTTAAATCTAATTTGATTGAAAGTATTTTTTTTTTGTGCAGAGTTAAAACTATGCCAGGATTTTTTTACTGTAGGAATCTAATGATATTATTTTAATTGTTGGAGTTAGTTACGTCGTGATCACAGATTATACTCATATCACAGTGAGGAGTGTAGTAAACCACACAAGCTTTTAGATTACCGACTTACCACTTACCACATCTCAGCCGTGAACAATTTTGTCAATCATTTGAAAAATAATCATCAAAATGATTCTGATGTGAACAGTCCTGACAAATTAATCCCGAGTTTCATGATTTAATCCAAATATAGTAAATAGCAATGGGAATATGTATGAAAACTGTACTTGGATTCAAGATCAGTTGTTTAGCACTTGGCTTTGATTTCAAGGATCTACAACTGGTTCATATGAAGATGTTAGACACCGTGTTCGTTTAGCGCACGCTAACAAAATGTGGAACCGTAACACATGACAGCGGTAGATGCAGCGTTAGTTGAACCAGTCACTACTCCAGTGTGACTATGGAGCTAGAAGCGCCCTAGAAACGTAGCGTTTGAAGTGAAAACTACAAGCGTCGCTGTTTGGCGACATTGGTTCAAAGCATCCGTTTGCATGTGAACGATCCCTTGTTTCTATGTACTTGGCTAACACCCTCTTGTAAACATGGAGTAAGTTTTTAGATTTCGACCATTACTTTAATTTCAACATTGTCTTCTTTCATAATAACAAATCAAATACTGTAACTCTGACAAAAGAATTTGGTATATAAAGAAGGACATCTGTGGTCTACAGAAAATATATTCATATTGTTTTGAACAAACATAAAAATGTATATAAGTTTAAAACTGGCAATGTTGCAAATACAATTTTAACTATCACTTTGTAAGTGGAATCAGCTATGAAATGAAATATGTACAGGGGAATATTCACACTTAACAATAATTCCAAACTTCAATGATCTTGGAGATCAGGAAAAACAATTAATAATTATTAACAAAATAGTTTTGAGTTGTTTACGTTAAAAATCATACAAAAAAATATAAGTCTAACAAGCTAAGCCATTCCATTCCCTACTTTACAATGGCAGTGAGTTCAGCCTACAAATTCTCCCGTCCACAAGTAATAATCTTGACTTCAGAATTAATTGCCAACAGTTGACTTTTTCAAAATATAAATCAAGAATGAGTGTCAATTGCATTTATTCCAATAAAATCAATGTGACAAAAATTATACTTTGCGTTTTAGTTTGTAGATATACTAGAAATTTGGAGATAATTTTTAAAACATTCAGTAAAAATATATTACAAAAACCACAGCAAAGACAATCATAGAAAGCTGAACAAAAATTAAAAAACTCACAAAAACTATCACAAATAATAATTATTTGTAAGGGAGGATCCAGCCTATTACAATTCTCTCTAGAATTCAAACTGATAAATATTTTTAGTAGGACTGCAACTTGGTTACTTGGACCCTACAAATTATAAACAACAGCACATTTCTAGGTATGTACAGTCCTTAACAATATAAATGGATACATTTGTACATAAATAAAATGTCAAAAAAGGGAAATGACTTGCAATGCATTGGATGCAACTTCAGAATAAAATTACTCGCTAAAACCATAATTATTTGTAAGTAAAGATCCAATCTATTACAAAATCTTAACAAAATTAATAAAATAAAAATTTAAAAAAATATTTAGTTGGACGCCAATTTCTTTATACAGACCTTATATGAGTGGCAGTACATGAGGTATGTAGACTTAGTCTGCAACAATTTAAGAACAACAGGAGATATTCTTGATAAAACAAATATCAAACAAGGGATATGACAAAAATATTACATTTAAATGACTCAATTCCTTAGCAGCAGGCTTCTGTGAGGCAGTGAGTTTCAGCAAGATTTTACTTGCTGTTAGAAAATTAACAACAAAGAATAAAACCTAAGGACTATACAATATTATGTAACCGTGCCACCCCATTCTATTAGGTATTCAGTCCTACCAATGGCAGTCAGTCGTTTGGCTTTTACTCTGAACTTCTCTCCCGAGGCGATTCGGTTCGCAGCACCAAAATAAATGTTAACGGACGATTTCAAATCGTCCAAAGATATGGTGGGGTTCTGCTTCATGGGGGAGGCGGTCGGAGTGAGGCTTTTGTGTTTAGGTTTTTTGAGCTTTTTACCGTTGAGATACTCTGGACCTGAGCCGGGGGTGGGGTTGTACATGCTCCGTAGGGATTTGGCACTGTTCCAACTGGCACTAGGAACTTGTTCCGTGTTCTTCATGACTGTACACTGGCGCCGTAGCCGCCGTCTCTTGACCTCACCGTTTCTGTTGATTCGAATGTCTTTCTCGCTCAGTCTTCGCTTGGTGGGCCGCAGCATGGGTTGTGTGACGGAGGGTTTGAGAGGCAGATTGAGAGATATGGGTTGAGTAGCTTCGGGTGTAGCTGTGTTACCCAGCAGCTCAGCCACACTGCGGAACGGATTGTTCTTACCTAGACATTAAAATTGCGTAAACCAGAGGATCTTCTGAGGGGAATGTTATAATTTTTAAATAATACCTTTACACTTGTGGTATAGATAAGCCTTATATAAAGAAAAACTAGAAGTTAAGAAGATGCTTGTGACCATAGCAGTTCCTTTGGTCGTGGAACAATTTGGTCTAATAGTCGAGATGCGGTCAGATGTAAACAAACCTTGAAGCAACACACACATTCTCGCAAAACAATTTTACCACGTGATGAAATGAATGATAACATGAATGATGAGATGTAATTGAAACGAAAAGCAATTAATGGAAAAGAATTAAAGATACAACAACAAGTTTTCTAAGTGTCGTTATTGGGCTCCCTACCTTTGACTACTGATAGAAGTAGACATTCCATCCCCATGTTAAAGTTTTCACCAGTTTTTTTTTATCAAAATGAACTTAGTTTAATTATGCCACTGGCAGAGTTCAGTGATATAAATTATTATAACAGCTATTACATTTTTTATGTCACTTTGCCTATCTCGGTACAAAAAACTAGGACAGAAAGTACAACTTTAGACTGTGGTGCATTCTATGAGTAGCTCGTTTAACTACATTCATTATAACAAAAATTAAATGACAACTGGTCCATTTAGATGGAATAGCTAGTTCAGAATTCAAAATACAACGCTAGTTCTCATTAATGTGAGTTCAGTTGAGCCGTATGACCTGACCAGCCATCGCACCTGAGAACTACAGCCAGTTCCGGCCCACGTTAACTTGTCCACAATTATAGAACGTCAATCAGGTGGTGTGTTGTATTAGTTACCTTCAAAGTCCTTTAGTGGAGGGATGATGGTATCGAGGGTGCGGCTGGACGAGGTGTCCTCACTGCTAGTGTCCCCCGGGGTGGCGGGGGTGGGAGTAGGCGGGGCAGGGGCTGTGTCTGACGCTGCTACAGACGACGGAGGGGTCAGAGGCAGCTCCTGGCAGATCTGTCGATTCTGCACAATATACAAGAATTCAAACAATATTGTGGTTTCGATGTTTTACTTCTGCTGACTTCTGCTACTTCTGCTGACCGTTTCTACAAAACTACACTTTCTTACAAGTCCTGACAAGTCAAAGTTATCTCCATATAACATTTGAGCACAGTAAACAAGTTTGAAAAGGGGCAGTTGAAAGGGGACCGAGTTTAACTGGCTTACGGTACCTGATAAAATTAAGAGTCAAGGGGCTAGTAGAAAAATGTTAAAGATCACCAAAAATATCACTGATACTGATATTCCATCGTGATATAGGTCTTCTTCAGAAAGTAGACCGATCAGAAATTTCTCTTCAAAGAATCATGATTTCTATCTACACTCTCTAAAGTGACTTTTAACCGTGTATGCATTAGATCCGGACTTATTTTTTTTTCAGGTATGCTGAATAAAAAAAACCCTTATCAACCACTTCGCTTTCCTTCAAAATACAGTTTGAGAGAAAATAACCTCAATATGCTCAGCTAATTGTATATTGTATGTAAGATGAGATAATGGTGTTTAACTTATTTTTTCAACCATTGTACTTTAATAAAAAGTGTTTCCAACCCAAAATATAGATGTAAATAATACCTTGATAAAATTAAAATGAAAAACACGATCAAGGTACTTACCGTCGTAGTAGCTATTGCATTTTTTAACAGTTTCCTTGCTTTCCGGGCACGAAAATTTCGTATCCTTTGGATTTTTAGTCCTTGGGCTCGAATTCTTCGTTGTATTTGAGCTCTAGACTCAGGGTAACAAGGGAAGGAGCTTTTTATGCAGACCTGCAAACACAGTTAACACTTATGAACTTCCAACCGAGATTAATAGCTGTTTATAACATTTTACACTCTTATCTGATTCCTGATTCAATAACTTTGCACATATGAATTAATCTTTTAGTTAACGGTATTTGACTGTTTTACGGTAAGAATTGTTGTTTCTCAATTTGGAGACATGTAAATATACGTACATATTACATGATTATTTTGACAAGGCAAGTGTTGGTCTGGAAACATGACCAAAATTCTTTGTTTGAATAACAGAACTGATTGACCTAAATAACCACCTTAAAATTTGTCAGTACAATCAATTTAAGTACTGTACAGACTGCCTCGATTGATTACATCTTTAACTATTGATAAGACCTAGACATTTTACTCTTAAAGATGTAGCAAGTTTTAAAATAAAAATTTGTAATTACTGATTTCCCTCAAAATTGGCTAAATTTAAGAGAAGCAAGCTTAAAGAAACACTTCACAGACCACCATTGAACTATAGCAACTTAAGGCAATATGTATAAATTTGTATATTCTTATTTGAATGGAAAGTCAGTAACAACTGGTCCATATATATATATTATATATTATGTATATATACAGTAACTTTTACCTTTGACTATTAATACAGTCAATGCTTGTACAGAAGACAGGCCTGAGACCCATGTGAACAGGTAAATGCAGAGTTTGAAGTCGCCAACCTCTTCAAAATAAAATTCCTAGTTGGTAAATTTAAGTTTACGTGTCAGACATATTTACCTTGTGGCCGGTAGCAGGCATCCCTTTAGGCAGGAAGACAGGTGGATCGTCTTGTATTTGTAACAACCGCACACCCGGGGGAGGGTCGCAGGGTAGTGTGGTGGACGGAGACAGTAGGTGGGTGTGAGACTCTCTCACTCCATTTATCTCAGACTTGCCACAACTGTACAAAATGCAGCATTTGTAAAATACAGGGTGCCTATGAAAATAAAATTTAGGACAATTCTATGTTCTCCTGATTTAAAACTGAAAATTTTTAAGTTGAAACTGACTGTACAAAAAATTCAAAAACTGTTTTACATAGATTAATGTGAATTTGGTTATGGTTTCTATTCACCTTCGATACCATGGACATCGGTAATGAATCGATGAATTTTGAAACTCAAATAAAATTATTATACTTTATAGTTTCAGTTCACCCTGGATTACGTTGGTAATAAATCCATGCATTTTGAAACTCAATTCAAATAATCACGGTTTATGGTTTCCATCCAACATAGATACCACAGGCATTGGTTTAATCAAATCCATGAATTTTGAAACTCAAATCAAATTAATAACTCCTCAACATTTAGAATCCAAAAGTAATTAAAAAATACAACATGGATTCCTCAATAAAAATATATTTTCCCTGTTATTTCAGTTATTTATTTATTATTTATCATCAGTTAGAGATTGCTACCAGGCTTTTCTCCATAACTTTAAAGAGCCATTTCTAGTCTCAGCCTAGCTACTGACAGCAATCTCCAACAGACTCTGAAATCCACTATGAGTTTTAACTACATCGCTTCTGTCCTTCTCCACTGACCTGGGCAGCAGTTTGAGGTGGTGCAGTAGAGCCTCAGTCACGGGTCGTGTCTTTGGCAGACTATACACAGGGGCAAGTGGAGGGATCCTCAGTCTCAGTCCCCAACTACTGCGCTTCTGCTTCACTTCCTCCCCACACTTGAACCTGCCACATCACAACACACATCACACATCACTGCTGTATTGATCACTGAGATAACCAAACATGAATGCCAACATTCTCAAATATTTGAGCAATTGAATCAAACTGCACTGAAAACCAAAATTAAAAATTAATATTTCTTTTAGGCCTACAAGAGAACAAATCTCTACTTACCTACTAAGATTGCTGGCCAATACACTCAATATTATACTTTTGCGTTCTTCAGTACTAACATTCAGAATCTGAAAGCAAGAGATTCATATAAATTAACTGTGATATAATGCACTAACTATACAAATAAAGAAAGTTTTGGAAGTCTCAAGAATTACCATGTGCAAAAATTGTTTCAGCTCTGATTAATCACCTCAGAAAATAGCTTGGAGTTAATAGATACTGAAAAACTACAGTGAGTTTATTAAGGGTTGGACACAACCTCTATTTTGCTTTTTCACGATAGTATAGAGGAGGACACAGCTTTTTCTATTTTAGCATTCATTTAGGTTAAACTGGACGTATCAAGTTGAAATAAATATATGATTAAAGACATAAAGCCCAGAATAATATTAGCCCAATTAATCGAAAAAGAAAACAATATTCCGACGTTAATGGGTTAAATAGTAGAAAGATTAGAGAAAACTTGTATTAAGAGTTTTCTTCACGCCTGCAAATACATCAAAACATGCCTCGGACGTCCTTCGCTCCGAATGGAATGTGTAAAGATATAATGTTAATATTTTTTTTTCCCTTACAGATTAATGTTGGTTGTAGGGCCCTCATGCATGATATATCCAAGAAAATCAATAGTATAAGTACAAATAAATCTTAGAGTAATGTAAATTTAAATCACTTTTAAACACTGGTAAAACTAATTATTTTTGTTTTCAATTTTTTTTAGGTATAAGAGCTCTAATATAACTATTCAACTACGGTACATTAGTACCAAATTTCAAGAACATCTGTTCAAAAACGGAGTCCGAAACGGGGGACGAAATTAACATGTTTTTTCGGAGACTAATGCGCTACTAGCCTTTTACAAAGCTTGGCTCAGGCGGCAGATGAATCACCGACGCATCAATTTAGTAGTCGTGTGTTCATGATGGTTTCAGAATGGCACACATAATGACCCCGCGCTATCCGCCCGTCTTCAACCACTTTCCCCCATGGCCATATCCCTAAAACGCAACTACACCGAGGATGATGAAGACTCTTAACACTTATATCAGACAAAAATGTCCCACGATATGATAAAATATCAGTTTTTAGTGATGAAAATCTGATCTTGCCTTGAATGATTAATATAGGTATCCTATTACCATGAATATTGGACAAAATGTCGATCACAACCAATAAAATAAATATTGTACGATTTCCTGAACACAAAAATACTTAAAACAATTTTCTCACCTTTGGTGGCAGCTGTAGTGTATTCCAGTTGTGATTCAGATATTGTAAGATATCTGTTTCTATATCATGGAACTTCTTAGCTTTATAAACAGTCAGATTAAATAATACTAAATGTACTAGGTCGACCCACTTCATTTCTAAGCGACGTAAAAACTCTTTACCATTATTGCACAAGGAACAAACAAACACGTAAAACCTGAAACAAACCAGTAAAGTTGGATCAGTAATCAAAACCATATCTGAAATAAACATGGGTAATTGTACAGTTTTAACATTTGTTTTATAAATACACAAGAGTGAAACAATGTTAACAAACTTTTTACACTGGATTTTAAAACGTTTTATTAATACTTAACCTGTATTAAAGCTTAACTATACATTCAAAGTCAGTGTTAGTTTTTCCTGGGCATTTTATGTAAGGTATGCATTATCTTTCTTATTTTTTTCACATTTAGATTTTAACTTTGCTATAGACAAAGTTTAGAAGTAGCCTATAATAGTAAAAAACACCGTTTGAAATACACTGCCCAGTTACAGCTAATTTTTGTCAGTACTCACGGATCGCCGAGGTAAAGCGGCTGGTGCAAGCACCGCAGACAATGTTCGTGGAACCACTGTCTACATCGGCCACACTGCAGCATCTTCATATACCAGTCTCCAGGTGTTCCACAGTAGCAGTACTTGGCCTCCGTGTTGACTCTATGGTGCATGTCCCACGTCAACTCTTCCATCTGACAAACAAATTACACATTAGATATCTGCAGATCACAGTAGCAGTACTTGGCCTCCGTGTTGACTCTATGGTGCATGTCCCCCATCTGACAAACAAATTACACATTAGATATCTGCAGATCACAGTAGCAGTACTTGGCCTCCGTGTTGACTCTATGGTGCATGTCCCCCATCTGACAAACAAATTACACATTAGATATCTGCAGATCACAGTAGCAGTACTTGGCCTCCGTGTTGACTCTATGGTGCATGTCCCCCATCTGACAAACAAATTACACATTAGATATCTGCAGATCACAGTAGCAGTACTTGGCCTCCGTGTTGACTCTATGGTGCATGTCCCCCATCTGACAAACAAATTACACATTAGATATCTGCAGATCACAGTAGCAGTACTTGGCCTCTGTGTTGACTCTATGGTGCATGTCCCACGTCAACTCTTCCATCTGACAAACAAATTACTCATTAGATATCTGCAGATCACAGTAGCAGTACTTGGCCTCCGTGTTGACTCTATCGTGCATGTCTCCCATCTGACAAAGAATTTACACATTAGATATCTGCAGATCACAGTAGCAGTACTTGGCCTCCGTGTTGACTCTATGGTTCATGTCAGCATGTCCCCCATCTGACAAACAAATTACACATTAGATATCTGCAGATCACAGTAGCAGTACTTGGCCTCCGTGTTGACTCTATGGTGCATGTCCCCCATCTGACAAACAAATTACACATTAGATATCTGCAGATCACAGTAGCAGTACTTGGCCTCCGTGTTGACTCTATCGTGCATGTCTCCCATCTGACAAAGAATTTACACATTAGATATCTGCAGATCACAGTAGCAGTACTTGGCCTCCGTGTTGACTCTATGGTGCATGTCCCCCATCTGACAAACAAATTACACATTAGATATCTGCAGATCACAGTAGCAGTACTTGGCCTCCGTGTTGACTCTATGGTGTATGTCCCACGTCAACTCTTCCATCTGACAAACAAATTACACATTAGATATCTGCAGATCACAGTAGCAGTACTTGGCCTCCGTGTTGACTCTATCGTGCATGTCTCCCATCTGACAAAGAATTTACACATTAGATATCTGCAGATCACAGTAGCAGTACTTGGCCTCCGTGTTGACTCTATGGTTCATGTCAGCATGTCCCCCATCTGACAAACAAATTACACATTAGATATCTGCAGATCACAGTAGCAGTACTTGGCCTCTGTGTTGACTCTATGGTGCATGTCCCACGTGAACTCTTTCATCTGACAAACAAAATACACATTAGATATCTGCAGATCCCGTGATATGTGTCGATTCTGGATACTACTGATACGTGGACATTCGTATTGAGAATCTATTGTACTGAGTCGATGCGGATTCCAAAATCTAACTAAGTTATCTCTATTGCAGAACGCATCTTCGAAGATCGCACGGTTTTAAAATTGAAGCTCATGACTACAATAGAACCTTCATAGTTCTATACTTCGTGGACCAAGGGGATGTCAAACTATCGGAATTATATTAAACATTTACAAACAGGAAGTATTTAAAACAAGAGATAAAGTTAACAAATTTAATGAACAGTATAAAACCTGACAAAAATTAACAAACATATCAATTTACATCTCTACTGCCTGTGGCTTCTTACTGTATAAAATAGTTTAACCTCGGCGAACCAATCATTGCCCACTGCTGGCATGTTCCCATCATGGCCCGTGTCGAACTATACGGATTGTCGAACTATTTAATGTCAAACTGACAAGGCTCTACAATATCATAATAACTACCTACGTGATCTTACATCAAACAGATAAAAATTATATCTAAAAAAAGATATCTAAATATTAAAACATTAAGTACTGTCCTAACCAAGACATAGTAGGCCTACTTACGTCGTAAGGCAGCTTGTTGTTGGACTGTGTGGGCAGGACGGAGAGAGGTGGCGGAGGGGCGGGGGGAGGGGCTGGTGCTTGCTTCCGCATCGCTCTCAGCTGCTTCAGCGGCACAGCCTGGGGGAGACAAACAATAAGATTGTTTCAAACATTTTTTTAAGTCTTCTTTGGATTACATTTTTTTCAAGAAAAGCCAAGTGGCTAGTTAGTTATTGCTTTTAAAGGATTTAGAGTTAAGTAAGTTTTGAGAAAAAAAATACTGTCCAAGTGCTAAAAGATGCCAAAATAAGGGATCACATAACATAACACTGATTTTTCTCTTTCATCTACTCTCTGAAGAAGTTATATGAGACTTTTTGAAAAAAGTCTTTAATCCGGTATAAAAATGTCGCCTTCGGGTCAGCTCCCTACAAAATTCAAAATAATATACTCTTTTTTTTACTGATTGTCTTTGGCTGGAGGGATCACTTTATTACCTGACAGCGATGGCACTCCCAGCAATCCAAACCCAGCTCGACTGTTGGCTGTAACAGAAAAAACATTACTTAGGTTTGTAGTTCAGAAGGGATAAGCAATAATAAATAGAACAATAAAATTGGATATTTGGACTGATAAGATTCATGTTTTAGTTAATCCAATAAATAAGACAATAACATAATTATTTACAACTCACAAGAATATGAGTTTTGTAAAACAATTTTACAGTTCACAATAATACAATAAAAACAAGTAAACAATAGCATCAAATCAACTTTATCATCATCGTGTTTATTTACAGTGAATCAAATGTGTGGTAAGTCAACAAGTAATTTAGAGAATAATTATGACAATATATTTTTGTAGGGCTAAAGATTTCGTCTAATAAAGCAAGGTGTGTAATAAAGTATTTACCGAGCTCCAGTCACAACAAAAATGCTAGACCAAATCTGCACATTCTTTACTTTATCCACTACTATTCTAGCAAATTTTCACTCCTATGCAACAAAATAATTTTTCAATGCAATTATACCAAATTTTTATATGGGATGGTTATACTTCACCCAGTCTTTGTGTAATTTGTGTAATGAAGTAATTTTGAAGTAATGGGAGCTTTTGCTGTTGGCCTAAAGAAAATTTTAAGCAACAACAAAAATGTTTTAAGTAGTTAGCTACCTACCATAGCTACCTACCAATTTCAAACTGGAAACAGCATCACTGTCTAATGCCATCGAATAAAAGTCCCTGAATATTTTTAAACAGCTACAGAAATGCCACCATCATCTTTGCAATCGCGGTAAAGTCATGTAGACATTATTGTAATCTTCCCGATCACGGCAAAAGCTGAATTTTTTAACCATGCGAAATTTGGAGATTTCTCAGGTATTGGGATTGACTCTTAACGATCGATTCTTGATACCTATAGTTATGTTCATTAATAGTTGGTATTGAGATTTGACACATCCCTAGTCTCGTCATAGTATATCCGATAATGATGGAAAAACAATGCTTCCATCAACAACAAACCACATTTTGTAGTTAGGTTTATATGAGAAGAGAGTCAACCCTGATTGCTAAGGAGTGTCTGGTGACATAAGTGTATACAGGAATGTGTTCCTAACCTGATGACAAAGCTGATGGTAGCCACGTGAGCAGCGATCACACACCACGACCTCATTGTCCTTTTTAGTCTGTGACTTCTTGCAGATAACACACATGACGTTTTCCACCTTGTTGAGCTTGGCCAGGTGTTTGAAGGCAGACCAGTGGTCCGTGTTGTCATCAAACTTGACCAAACACTTCTCCTGAGCTACGTTCACCTAAACACAACACGTGTCTAGCAAGCCATGAAAATAAACTTCAAGGAAGAAACCAAGACTTAAGCGTAGGTAGCAATTACTTATTTGTTAGTACCTGCTTGTACGTTAAAAAGTACCAATTCAAAGAATATAAAATTAAAGAGAAAAAATAAAAACATTTTTTGTTCACTGATTGTTGCACATTACTGATGGCCAAATGTTCAAAAGTCACGAACGATTCCCAGTTTTTGTGTCAGACGGACATACCGTTTTTGGAAACTTTAAAATTTGGATACTTTCTAATATTTTAAAGCACTAAGCCTACATAACTAGAAGAGTAAACTAAAACAGATAGAAGTCTTTGGTAGCATAGAGTTCTAACCTCAACAACAGTTCCAAGATAGAAGTTGCCGTCCTTACGTTGGACGAGCACTTCATCTCCAATACAAAACACTCGATCCTTGGTGGTGGAGTCTGGGGCCGTCGGACTCTCAGAGTCCCGTGCGTCCTGAACACAAACAAACAATAGGCCTGTTTGATTTCAGAATACAACAATAAAAGGCATGAACATTTAAACTTCTTAGTGCAATGATGTCACTCATAACGATATATATATAGGTTATTGCGGACACATCTAATAGTACACAGTAGGCCTACTGCTGAGGAATTTTTGGGTGGTTTTTGTGTTAGTGCAATCAGTCCAAAAGCTAAATGATTGATTACCAGTTCATTTCCCTTGTTCAGTGTTGCTAGCAACCAACTGTTTCACATGCCATCAGTTTGTTTATTTTTTTATACAACCTAAAAAATAAATATACGTTTGTGATTTGTGCTATTGTTTTTTTTTTTAGGAGGAATTATTTTAGTTGTAATTTTTATATTTTAATGATTATAGTTGTAGATTGTTATTTGGTAGTTCATTATAAGGATTACTAGTGTACCTGTTGCTCGAATTCGAGCAATTGCTAAGCATTAAAGGCGTTATTTAAAAATGAATAACAGTCATAATTTCTGATGACTTTAAAGATTTCTTCAAAGATTATGGAAATTACTCAAGATGTAGATAACAGATCGATATAACCAACATTTCTTGTAAATATCTTATCATTTTTCAAAAGCTGATCTTGTTTTTTTTAGTGTTTTCTACAAATAGCCTTAGGCCTACTTATAGGCATTAGGTTATCCATAACAACGATTATAAATAAAAATTTTAAACCATTATTTATATTTCTTCTCCTTGGTGTGGTGTTCTATGACTTTCCTATGCTTCCAAAAACCATAGTTTGCAATTTGACTCTTTCAATGATTACTAAGAAATGCAGCACAGTGTTAATTCAGTTTTCTTTTAGCGAATTTCCCATATAGGGAATATTTTATATAGTTCGGCAATAGCTATTACCGTAGTACTCATGGTAAGACCTGGACCCGGGACATATTTACTTTTCCGTTTTGAGGACCCTAAAGGCCAAAAACACCATCCGTTCAAATTCATATAAATATGTGTCCATTAGCACACAACCCTAGCTCTGCTTTTGATTGATTTAAGTGTCTAAGAGTTAGCCTATATGAAAATAATGTTATTGACATATTTTCATGAAGACCTAAACAGACGATTACTATGTGGGTGATACTTTTTATCAATAAATGTTATGGCTCATTGTTTATAAATTTGAACTAGGCCTACTTAACAAGTGTTTAGAATAGGCGGTATAAGAAGAAGAAGAAGAAGAAGAAGAAGAAGAAGAAGAAGAAAAGGTGTTTATTGAAATAAAATATCAGTACATCTATACTTATTTAATACGCGAGCAGGTTTTTTGTGACAATTACTCCTCCGATACTACTAAACCGATTGACATGTTTTTGGTGTCATTGGAAAGAGCGTAACGTGAAGTTATGCAGGAAACTTTCTTTTTAGGGAAATAATTAGAGAGTGAGGCCTGGGGGGCCTTTAAAGTTTCGTATTTCTCCATAAGATTATCATGGTAAACACAAATTGTTATGAAACTCCAGCTGTTGCCAGAAATTAAAAGTGAGAAGAAGAACAATGTTAATTGTAAACAGCCAATTTGTAAATTATCTATGTTGTATTAAAAATGTGTAGGCTATAGTTTTGGATGTTGGTTTGTGTTTAATGATATAAGTTATAAATTATTGATTTTTTTATAAGTAAGGAAATGTTTGTAGAAAACACTAAAAACAATATCAGCTTATGAAACATGATAAAATATTTACAGGGAATGTGAATTACAGTATATTGAACTGTTGTATGCATCGTGAGTATTTCCATGAGCTACACACCGGTAATCTTTGAGTTGACTATTTTAAACTCATTGTAAATATAACTGTTATTCGTTTTGAAACAACTTCTGTAATACTTTGCAATTGCTCGAATTCGAGCAACATGTACACTAGGTGTTTTTTACTTTGTTAGCCTACTGTTTTTTTACTAGGCCTACGGTATAACTAGGCCTAATTATGTTAGTTATTAATTTAAGATAAATGTTCAAGTTATGGTTTGTAGAGTACTTAAAACATTATCCTAGAGTTAATTGGTAACTTAAAATGTGTCTTGTTTATGATATTCTTTTAACTATCAAACATAATTAATTAAAGTAGGTACTAGCCTACCGAACAAGTCTCAGTCTCTTGGTAGGCCTACTAAGAAGTTACCTACAGAAGAAAACAAGACTGAGCTTTAGAGTTAACTTTAAGGCCTATCCCTCAAACTAAGAACAAGGGAACTAAATTAGACTAAGTTAAAATAAATAAGGGGCAAACCTAGGAGGGGGATAAGGGGGTTTGCATTGTGGATGCGATACTCCCTGGTGTGGATTAAAGTCCGCACGGGTGAGTACTACGACTATCCGCAGTACTATCCTGATAATTAGACCAATTCGTAATTACCAAGGCAAAAAATGTGGTTCGGATTCCACTATAAACTGTAGGTCCCTTAGTATCCATTAGCTGTATGGGCTATTAATTAACAGCTGTGTCTAAGGAATGTCGGCCTTAGTCACTAACAATACTACAAGATCGCGCCACTCATCCTACACTCATCTCCATTCATACTTGGCTTAAAATAGGGTGAAGTGGGGTAAGTGTGACCTAAAAATCATAAAGTTCATCTTTAAACTTTTTTTCTCGGTTATTTCAAAGCTAGAAACTTGAAATTTTTAACACTTAAACTTTGGAAATATCTTCATTGGTAAAAAAAAACCAATGTGATAAACTTATGCTTTCACTATTTTTTTTTTTTTTTTTACTTACAAAAAATGCCTGCTAGATGTCACACTTGCCCCATGGGGTCGGGGCAAGTGTGTTAGCGACCTCTTTAAAATCCTGTATCTCTTTTAATGGTAAATGGGGCAAATGTGATAAATGCCCAGTTAGTGCTCTTTCAGGAACATTTTGATTTAAGTCCCCCTATCATTCTTAATTTATGAGATATTTACAAATGAAATAAAGACGTACAAATCTGTGGAAATTTGTAAAAACTTGCATCAGATCACACAGATTACATCAGATCACACTTGTCCCGAATGTGTCACACTTGCCCCAGCCATTGAAAATTTCCGGGGTAAGTGTGACATGTGGTTTTAAATTTAATGATAAATTTGTACACGTTTAAAATATTTTTTTTCTAAAAGTTTAGCTTTTAGGCTCTTTAAAAATCTGAGTTTGATATAAATTGGTCGAAATTTAAAATAACTACAAATTAAACAAAATTTCCGAACAAACTTTGATTTTGACCTAAAATGTCGGACTTATAAAAACCAATAGAAAATCAACATACAGTAGTTACTAAATTGATAAAAAACTATGTAACTAGATACCTTATATGTCAAACATTATTTCTATGACAAAACCAATTTTTTTCAGCGATTCCCAAAAACAAGATGGCCGGCTATCACACTTACCCCACTGTCACACTTACCCCGGGAATTTACAATGGCTGGGGCAAGTGTGACACATCCGGGGCAAGTGTGATCTGATGTAATCTGTGTGATCTGATGCAAGTTTTTACAAATTTCCGCAGATTTGTACGTCTTTATTTCATTTGTAAATATCTCAAAGTAAGAATGATCTCCACCCTACCTACTTTGTATGGTCGCCATTTCATAGAACAGTAGGCCTAAGTATTAACAGTTATCCCCCCCCCCCCCTGAAATATTTTAAGAATTTAACATCTCGGGTTTGTAACATTTATACAGAATACCCAAAATTTATAAAATTTACTGTTAAAATGTAATTGTTCCGTGAAATTAACAGTTAAGAAACATAGCACACTCAGCTAAAAGAATAGGCCTATAATTCCTCGTATTAGATTGGTAGGTAGTTTTAATTCTGAACAAAACACTATAAGTTAGGTAACTTTTGGTATTGGCAATACTGGCGTGCCAACAGCTGTCAGTACAGTTTGCGCCAATTAGGTACCGTATGTCCCTATTCTATCTGCAGTGTCTGCTCAGAGACAACCTTTAACCTCAAAACTATATGAGTCGTTCTTTGATACATGTATTTGATCATCACAAAATTCTTTCTGTGGTGTTATTATGGAGTGTTTGATGACTTATGTTTTACACATGACCTAGTCTATGTTTGTACTGCTTTCTTTGATTCTGTGTGTGTATCCCATCGTCACGTGCACTTACAGAGCGACTTATTTAACACATAATTGTTATTCAATGTGTACATTACTTATTCATTTCCCTATCCAACATTTCTTTATACCTCTCTCTACATTACTCTACATTATATAGGCCTAATTAGCCTAAATTATTTACCGTAGGCCCTATACATTTTTAAGATTTAACTTACCTACTTAAGGATTACCTAACTTACTAAACTTAATTTCTTGTTCCTTGATGTGGAATGTTCTGCGCGCCTTAAGAAAATAAGTAGTTCCCTATATTATCGCTATTTTCGGTGGTTTCCGCGCCATAAAAAAATGTTTTAAAGGTACTTTATATTGTTTATTAGAATCATAGGAATGGTTTAAGAAGGTTTAGAAGAGAAGTCCAGAAAGATCAGAAATACCCGTCCCCCAAATAAATTCTTGATTTCGCCCCTGAATTAAATTACACAGAGGATACGCGTCCGGTAACCAGACATAGGGTAGATTAGGCGTCCGGTAGTGACGTCACCGGGTTGTGGGGTCCCGGAACGCCATTACCACAACGATACGATGTTCGACCAGCGTTGTTCGTGGTGTAGTGGATAGGGTGCTCGGCTGATATCCAAGAGGTCCCTGGTTCGAAACCCATCAGTTTCCTTAACTTTTTGTCACAGATTTTGCTTTGAATGTAATTTCTTCTTAACTGTACATCTTTTGTTAGAATGTTTGGCATTTATAATTTTATGTTATGAAGAAAATTGAACCTTCATTTGATTTTTTCCATTATCAGCAAGTGTGGTTGGATAGGTTAGGTTATGACAGTAACTGCCGGACGCCTAATCCACGTCCTGTTACCGGACGCGTATCCTCTGTGATTAAATTAACCTCAAAGCTTAATAAAATTATAAAACTTGACTTATGCCTGACTTATATATAGGCCTATGACTACACAGACTAAATAGGCCTAAGTTAACTTGTATAAACTTAAAGACGCACAAAAGGCTAAATTTAGAATCTCTCACATCTATGAAACACAATCAATACGGTAAGTTAGCCTATTTATAAATTGATATAATTAACTTACCCTCTTCCGATTTAATCCAGACATGTTTAGATATTAAGTTCACCAATCTCTTGTTGAAAGCTTATCTTACACTCTCCTTGATGGTAGCCTACAGGTTTCAAATAAGCCTAGGCCTGGGAAGATGAGGCATTTTGCACCTGAAAATAATTGACCCTTTTAGCAGGGAATACTTATTGCATTCATAAAATGATAATATAAAATACAGGCCTAATTAAACTACTACTTATAGTCTCAATGGAAACAAAATAAACCAGACTCCTATTTGGTATTTTTCAAATCTCACAAACTTAAGACTGAATTTAAGGATTAGCCTATTGGATTAAGTGGTTGAAAGCAATATCAATGTTGTTTACTTTGAATACAATTCGTCTCGACGTTGAAAATATATCGTCTTAGGGAGGATTTTGAAATATTAATACTCACCAAAGTGGGTAAAAGTCACTGGCTAGATATTTCTACCATCGCCCCGACATTAATGTGTCAGCCATGTTTGGTTAATCCAAACACGGGCGGAAATTTTCTCACAACAATCCACCCTTTAGCACTACATAACTGCAGTTATTTGGAATATTTAACAGTATTTTAAGCCAAACTTGAATAAGGACTGCATGGTACAAAGAAATAGTTTATAGATGTTAACACATTCAAATTCACAATAATAACAGATTTTATAGGAAAAAAATACATTAATCTTTCGTTGTATTCAAGAAGACGGCGCCTACGGAACGGAACGGACCAAAAAGCAAATAGTCCAGGCAAACTAAACAAACTTACATAGGGACCGTTAAAAAAATTGCAAGAAAACGTTTTATGGTTTTATTTTGTAGAGTTGGGTTTGCAGAATGACATACTAAAAGTTGCCAAAAATCGGTGCACGAGAAAACCACTAAAATCACAATTTAAAATGGCGGCTTTTTTCAACATTGGACAAATCAAAAAAACATATTTCACATGCATTTGCTATGCACATTTTTCGAGATATTGACTTGGGACCACCGCCTGTATTTATTGAGTGGTTAGTACTTCATTTTGATAGGGAACATGTTTTTGGCCGCCATCTTGGATCCGCCATATTGGACATAGATAATTTTTTTTCAATGTAATGATAGTGTTGTGACACATCATTACCAACTACATTTTTACACTGATTTCAATGCCGAAATCCGTTTTTAAATATCTTTATTCATTTAGAAGATATATACAAAAGAAAACTCTGCACCATACATTTCTTATGGACGTTTCGTAGTTTGATATTTTTTTTAAATTATTTTTCTTATATCTCCAGTTCTTATTAACGCTTGTAGTTCGTTCTAGGCTTAAAATATTCAGTAATGTAAGGGCTTTCATTTGAGCTCTTGATCATTAAAATCAGACGAGTTAAAGACCTGCTACAAACCTCAGAACAATATTAAATTTAACTTTTTAGAAATATATTTTTATTTAAATATTTATAACTCGGGTTGTTAATACGTCACCAAGTTCTTTCTTGTCTCAAATTACTCAGTGAATGTTTAGCTTTGATTTTATTAATCACTAAACAAAATCTGACAATTTTAAAATGAGCCATGGACCATAATTTAACATTAAAATGTATTTATTTTGAAATTTGTCTTTAGTTAAGGACATATATCCCAAACCCTAATAACTCCTGGAAAGTAATCCATAGCTAAAATAAAAGTCAATATTTTGGCGAATTATTTAAGACTATAAAGAGTTTTGGGAGTTATTTAGAATTAGGAATATACGTCTTTAACTAAAGACAAATTTCAATATAAATACATTCAAATGTTAAATTATGGTCCATGGCTCATTTTAAAATTGTCAGATTTTGTTTAATGATCAATAAAATTAAAGCCAAACATTTACTGAGCAATTTGAGACCAGAAAGAACTCGGTGACGTATTAACAACCCGAGTTATAAATCTTTTAATAAAAATATATTTCTAAAAAGTTAAATTTAATATTGTTCTGAGGTTCGTAGCAGGTCTTTAACTCGTCTGATTTTAATGATCAAGAGCTCAAATGAAAGCCCTTACATTACTGAATATTTTAAGCCTAGAACGAACTACAAGCGTTAATAAGAACTGGAGATATAAGAAAAATAATTTTAAAAAAATATCAAACTACGAAACGTCCATAAGAAATGTATGGTGCAGAGTTTTCTTTTGTATATATCTTCTAAATGAATAAAGATATTTAAAAACGGATTTCGGCATTGAAATCAGTGTAAAAATGTAGTTGGTAATGATGTGTCACAACACTATCATTACATTGAAAAAAAATTATCTATGTCCAATATGGCGGATCCAAGATGGCGGCCAAAAACATGTTCCCTATCAAAATGAAGTACTAACCACTCAATAAATACAGGCGGTGGTCCCAAGTCAATATCTCGAAAAATGTGCATAGCAAATGCATGTGAAATATGTTTTTTTAATTTGTCCAATGTTGAAAAAAGCCGCCATTTTAAATTGTGATTTTAGTGGTTTTCTCGTGCACCGATTTTTGGCAACTTTTAGTATGTCATTCTGCAAACCCAACTCTACAAAATAAAACCATAAAACGTTTTCTTGCAATTTTTTTAAGGTCATATCCTATATTTACCCGACTAAAAAGCATTAAAAGCAAGAAACGAACGAAGGGGTACGCTAGCGCTCCAGTCCCAGTCCAGAGCCAGCCAGCTTCGGATTCGGACCCGGACAGACGGTCAGCGGTCACGGAGTTCGAAATTCGAATCGAACTGAACTTCGGCTCCCCGGAGTTCGGTATCGGATTGGTTATGTTATTATTATTACTACTTGTTGCTCGAAATCGAGCAAAACTGCAACTTTTAATAAAATAATGAAGAAAAAACATAAACAGCAAGACCTCAATCATAGAGTCACTCTAAAGTACTTTCTATGGCCGATTACAAACTTTCACATTCAGTTTATAATATTAGTAAGATTATGTTGTAAAAAATTATAAAAGCAATCAACGGTGCAATATGTAAAAATATTGGCGTAAATATAGTAGTATGGCGTAAACTATCGTACGTAACTCGTCCAAAATGTGTTTACCGGACTCGTATGGTAATCCCGTACTCGACTTCGTCTCGCACGGGAACGACCACACTCGTCCGGTAAACACTTGTTTTCAGGACTAGTAACGTAATATACTATATTCTTTATAATTGGATTGTTTGTGAATGTAACCATATAAACTATATACATAATAACTTCAGCTTATTAATTTTTAATGTTGGCATAAAAAAAACGATGACTTGCCCTTCTTGATGCACAATACTATACTATTTTGTTCCAGTTTGTTCTTTTGTGTTACCAAATAGCGTAAAAAACGTTTTAAAACACTATATTTTCAGAAATTTTCCTCGGATACCCCAGATGTTCGGTAGACCTATATATTGCACCCCCTGTTTCAAATCTTGTGGGCGCCCATGGTCAAGCACACACAACACACTGTAAAGTGGTCTTTTCAGACCTAATGTAGCAAGCTAAATCCCTCTCTTGACGCCAACCAGTACGATACGACGTATTCTGGCATTGTTAAATAATTCCTACGATAAATGTTCTGTGAGTACGGTAAAGACGAGGAGGGAGGAGGAGGAGAACTGCGAGAGAGAAGTGCGATGCGAGTCGAAGTTCGATTCGAAGCCAGTGGAACTCGACTCGAAGTAAAGTGATTGGGATTGGACTGATTGAACGAAATTGTATTATTGTGGTTCGTGGTTGTGTTTTCTGTTTTGTGTTATTGTGTTGTAGATTTGCACTAGAGTCTAAACCTTCGCTAAATCATCACGATGTTGTCCCCTGGCACTGCGGAGTGGGGGAAGCAAAGCATTTTATTGGCTGAGTGAACACCATTTCCGCAACGATACGATTTGTAGCCACCGGCCTCGGTGGTCTAATGGATAACGTGCCGGGCTGAGGATCTGAAGGTACCAGGTTCGAATCCTCTCGGTAGCACTAACTTTTTGTCTAAGATTTTTGCATTATCAGCAAGTTTGGTTAGTTTGGTTAGGTTATGACAGTTTAATTTTATAATTAATATTTTCTAAAATTGGTTCAAGGCATTTATAATTTTATTTTATGAACAGAACTATTTTTTCGATTAGTAAACCTTCATTCGATTATTATTTTATATATTTTTTTATATAATCAGCATGTTTGGTTGGTTAGGTTAGTTTATGACAGTTTAATTTTATAAATATTCATTTTTTAACTTATTGAAAAACTGCAGCATAGGTATATGATGTGCATGTAAAACAACGCGGGCTTGTTTGGACGCCGTCTAGAGGGGAGGTGGAGGGAGAATCATTTCCCCCACTCCGCAGCGCCAGGGGACAACATCGTGATGATTTAGCGAAGGTTTAGACTCCGACTCCAGTGAGTGTAGATTTGCGGCTCGGCTATTGAAAGGCTGCTATCGTGATAGACAATTTAAATTAAATAATAATATTAAGTTATATGAATGACAAACTTATTACAAAATTGTTGGTTATTATATATTACATGTGATGCCCAACTTATACTACAGTACTACACCCGAGTTTAGTGAAGTGGAGTAACTATAACTTAGCAATGTTTGAACTTGAAGTGTTAGGCTAAGTGTATTTTTGATTTACATCTTAGGACCTAAGTACTGTAACTTGGGATCTGTTAAGGTAGGCATTTCAACCAAAGGAAAACCACTATTCAAAGCCAGAAAGGGCCAAATTCTCTTAGAATTGTCATCTTGATTTTTTTCTTTTCTTTTCATGATAACTTACTAGGCCTAGGCTAATCTGTTATGACCTAATCAGGGTACATACACTTACACTTCCATATCTGTTGGCACAAACAACTGAATGAAAATATCGATCGATATATCGATTATTTGATACATTGTTTGGTTAGTTAGGTAAGGTTAACCTAACCTAAGTTTAACTAACCAAACGATAATATATCGAATTAAATAGCCTAATCGAATAATCAATATTACTCAGTCGGTTGTTTGTGCCAACAGATATGGAAGTGTACCCCGTAATCTTAGTATATTGAGTGTTTTTTACTTGTTTGAAAATTTATCCTGCAGAAAACCTTGCCTACGATTATCGGATTAAGTTAGGCCTACATTTTTGTTCAATTCCTACCTAAATATTGAGGGTATAGTTTCTTAACTGGGCTATGCTAATATTGATTGAAACTATCGAATTGAAAATATTGATTAATAATCGATATTTTTAAATATTTTTATTATAAAATAAAATTAGGCCTATCATAACCTAACCTATTTTTTTTTTTTTTTTTTTTGCTTTTTTTTTCCAAGATGGTGGTTTACTATGCGGAGACTCTTGTTTGGGCACTACAGTTTTGAGTGTTTCTTTTTAACTTACCTCGTTTTGCACTATCTCATTTCTACTTCGCTATTTTTCGCAAAAGCCTGTGAGTGAACTCCACTGTGTGTTTTCCAGAATCTACACTTTTTCAATAAACTATCCCTGTCTAATATCTGGCCATATCCCTTGTGACGTCACTAACATTTCTGTCTGATCTGGAAAGTCGTTTCATCAGTCATCTCACGCCAATTTTTTTCTTCAAGGCCACAGCCCTTTGAATATCAGGTTTGCTAAGCAACATAAATACTATATAAAAAGCACACTTCCAGTGGTAAACTGAGTAGCTACTGATTTATGAACTGTCTGCCTTCTCGCTGTTGCATTTCACAAAGCATATTTTTGAGATATAAAATTCAGTACATTCTATAATTATGTCTACTTCCTGTCCTGTTTGTGTAAAGCAAGTCTTAGATACAGAAGATGGCTTGTGCTGTGATGCCGAATGTGAGAGATGGTTTCACAGAGAATGTGTGAAAATGTCTAAATCTGAATACCAACGATCTAGCAACGATAACAGTATAAAATGGTATTGTCATAGAACTGACTGTAAAAAGACGCTGCCAAGCCCAATAGATGCCAAGCTGGATGCCATTCTCTCTAAATTGTCCTCCCTTGCCACTAAAACAGAACTCTCAGAAGGACTACAACTTATAAAACAAGACCTGGAATTAGTGACCTCCAAATTACAGGAATTTGAGCCTCGTTTGGCCTATGTTGAATCGGAATTAAGCACTATCAAGGATAAACAGGTAGCGGGTAGTGATCAGCTTTTTGAAGATGTCTTATCCGAATGCAATGATCGTAATCGACGTGCAAAAAATGTTATTGTACATAACATCCCCGATTCCAACACAGTCTCAAAAACTGCGGATGCTGTTTTTGTCCAGGATTTTCTAGTTCATTTGAAGTCTAATGTTCAGTATTCAGATGTTCGTCATTTTAGATTGGGGAAAAAAAGGACAAATTGTCCTCTTATGCTTTGTATGCCGTCTGAAGGCGCTGCTATTTATATTTTCAAAAACTTCAATGAAAATGATGTTCCTATTAGCATGCGGGGAATATCAATCTCTCATGACCGCACTCCTCGAGAGAAGAGACATCTGGAGACTCTTCGTGCCACCTTAAAGTCCAAACAAGATGCCGGTGATACTTCCCTAACGATTAGATACAAGAATGGAACGCCTTCTATTGTGCCAAAAAACGAATAAATTCCAACGGTAAGCAGCAGCATGTTTCTCTGAATGTTTACTGCCAAAATGTAAATGGTCTTCGTTCGAAGCTCATCGAGTTAAAAAATAATTTATCTGCATGCCTTGATGATGTTATTCTACTATGTGAAACAAATCTCTCTCCTGATATCCCCGACTCCGAAGTCGTTGGCGATACTGACTTCATTGTTCATAGATGTGATAGGTCTGCTGCTACAAGTCACAAAAGTTCTGGTGGAGGAACCCTACTTGCAGTTCGTAAGAAGCTTATGTCTAAGCGACTATACTCTGGATTCAACATTGAAAGTGTCTTTGCCCTTGTGAAATTGGGACCTGGTTTTGATCTTCTTCTGGCTTGTGTCTACATTCCTCCTTCAAGTCCTCTTTCTGTTTACCGTGAATTCTGTGATGCGGTTACTGAGACAGTCGAATTGGCAAATTTCCCAAAGAAGACACTCATTTTTGGAGACTTCAACTTGCCTCACTTCGATGTCAACTTACCTGTATCTGGCCTTCCTCAACATTGCTGCGAATACCTCCGTGACATGTCTTCTCTGCACTCTCTCTTCCAGATAAATCATGTTCAAAACCATAGAGGAGTAACATTGGACTTGGTCTTCCATTCTGATAGTGAAGTGCAAGTTATCAGGGCCAACGATTGGTTGATTAAACCTGAAATTCATCACCCTCCTCTGTCCCTTACTCTTGAGTGCTATATGCCTTCTACTTGTGACAACAGCTACAGCGGCTACAACTTGGGGAAATGTGACCTCCCCGCTGCTTTTATAGCCCTTCAGGAAACAGATATGGGATTTATTCACCAGCCGATCTCAACTGATGAAAAGTTTGATCTTTTGGAAAGTTCCTTAGAGAAAATCGTCAAAAATGCGAGTCCGATGAAGAAATTTGGTATCTCACGCTTCCCTAGGTGGTTTAATGATGACCTAAAAAAATGCATTATTGAAAAGAAAGCTGCGCATGCACGTTTCAAGAGAAGTTTCAATCTTGTCCATTATTATGAATTCTCAAGGCTGAGAGATAATTGTAGGTCGCTGTCTCGTGAATGCCACATTCGATATTTATCCAATGTTCAATCAAACATATCTTCTAATCCACGAGCTTTCTAGGGACTAGTTAAGGCTCAAAGAAATACTCCTGACATGCCGTCTAGTCTGCATTTGGATGACGAAGTAGCCAGTGACACAACAAGCATATGTCAGCTGTTTTCCAGTTATTTCAACTCGGTCTACTCTCCATCGTCACGAGTTTCACCTAGCTTTAGCTATCCCGTCTTCGATTCTCTCTGTGTCATAACAACCTCAACTGAAGAAGTTCTCAGCAAGCTTAAGAATCTGGACACTACAAAGGGAGCTGGAATTGACAATATACCGCCATCTATGCTTCATCACTGCCGATCTCTCTTAGCTGAACCCCTCACAGTGTTGTTCAACGAATCACTTAACAAAGGAATCTTCCCTAGCTCTTTAAAGTCGGGCTTTATCATTCCTTTACATAAAGCAAATGATCCCAGCGACATACGGAACTACCGTCCAATCACTATTCTGCCGGCAATTGGCAAAGTCTTTGAAAGTATCGTGGTAGATAGACTGAATCCTTTTCTATCCAAAATAATCCATCCTTCCCAACATGGCTTTATGAAAGGCAAGTCTACTGTCTCCAATCTCCTGCTCTTTCAAGAATATGTCTTGTCTGCCTTTCGCAAGAACTACCAAGTTGATGCAGCCTACATTGATATGGCAAAAGCCTTGGACAAGGTCGACCATACAATTCTTGTGTCTAAGTTGCTGGGCTACGGAGTGGCTGAACCTCTTTTGTCATGGATTTCTAGTTATCTTCAAAAACGTTCTCTTGTCGTGAGGATTGGTTCTACCACTTCCACTCAGTTCTCACCTTCTTCAGGAGTTCCACAAGGTTCTTTGCTGGGACCTTGCCTCTTCAATGTTTTTGTCAATGACCTACTAGACAATTTAACTGTAAAGGCCTTACAATTTGCTGACGACCTGAAGATTTTCACTTCTGTATCTACACCAGAAGACTCTCAAGAAATTCAAAATAGCCTTTCTGAAATTGAGGATTGGTGTGTCAGGAATAACATGTCTGTAAATCCCAGTAAGTGCTCTTGTATAACCTATCACCGCATCAAATCCCCAGTCATGTACGTATACTCCATTTCTGGTACATCCATTCCACGGTCCCAGTGTATAAAAGACCTAGGCGTTATTTTTTCCAGCGACATGGGATTTTCTGGGCATATAGATCACATCAGTAACAAAGCAAACAAGATGCTTGGTTTCATAGCAAGATTCTCCAGAGGCATCGACAACCCTTCTGCTCTTCGCTCTCTGTATTGTTCCCTTGTGAGACAGCTAGTGGAATATGCAAGTCCCGTGTGGTCGCCTTACACTGTTGGCAATAGGACGAGACTGGAGGCTCTACAAAGGCGTTTTCTTCGTTTGGTTGGTGTCCGGCTGGGTTTTGCCTATCTTGATGTGCCTGTGGAGGAACTGTCCAGCAATCTGAACTTGTCACCTCTTGCCCTGCGACGTGACGTGGCTGATGTTATTCTTCTCTGGAAGATAGTCAATGGTCACATGAACTGTCCAGATCTCCTAGCTGAAATCGACCTCAGAGTGCCTACAAACACAAGATCTCGAGATCTGCTGGGTCGAAGATACCACTCAACCAACTTCGACTTCAACAGTCCTTTCGCAAGGTTTACTCGCCTGGGAAATCGAGTTGCGTCTGGGTGTGACCTGTTTTTCGATGGACTTCAGCAGGTTCGTCGGCAGGCCTCCTCTCTTCTTCTTTCTGGGAAAGACTAGTAATTAATTTATTGTTGTTTGTTAATCTTTATTTTCTGTTGTTGCTATGTTAGAGTATTTATTGTTGTTTGTTAATCTTATTTTTTTGTTGTTGTTACGCTTTGGATATTTATAACCTGTTATATCTTTGTTAACTTATATTTATCATCAAATTTTGCTTACCTATTTTGTTGTATTCAACCATCATGTTTATCTTTGTAAATTGGCTGCTGCCGTTGGAAATAAAATAAAATAA